GATCTGGCCTTCTAAAGAGCAGTCAGGGTTGATCTCCTCTAGGACTGACCGGTTTGATCGCCTTGCGGTCCAAGGGACTCGCAAGAGTCTCCTCCAGCACCACAATTCAAAGGTCTCAATCCTTTGGTGCTCAGCTTTCCTTATGGTCCAGCTTTCACAGCCATACATTGCAACTGGGAAAACCATAGCCTTGGCTATACACACTTTTGTTGGCAGAGTGATGTCTCTGCTTTTTAGTATGCTGTCTAGATTTCCCATAGCTTTCCTCCTCAGGAGCAAGTGTCTTTTAATTTCTTGGCTGCAGTCCTCATCTGTGGTGATTTTGGAGCCCAGGAAAATAAAATCTGTCACTACCTTCATTTGTTCCCCATCTATTTGCCAGGAAGTGAGAGGACCAGATGCCATGATCTTAGTTTTCTTAATGTTGAGTTTCAAGCCAACTTTTGCGCTCTCCTCCTTCACCCGCATCAAGAGGCTCTTTAGTTCCTCTTCACTTTCTGCCATGAGAGTGGTATCATCTGCATATCTGAGGTTGTTGATATTTCTCCCAGCAATCTTAATTCCAACTGGTGATTCATCCAGTCCCGCATTTCTCATGATGTGCTCTGCATATAAGTTAAATAGGCAGGGCGACAGTATACAGCCTTGCCAAACTCCTTTCTCAATTTTGAACCAATCAGTGGTTCCGTGCCCAGTTCTCACTGTTGCTTCTTGACCCGCATATAGGTTTCACAAGAGACAAATAAGATGGTCTGATACTCCCATCTCTTTAAGAACTTGCCACAATTTGTTGTGATCCACACAATCAAAGGCTTTAGCATAGTCAAATGAAGCAGAAGTAGATGTTTTTCTGGAACTCCCTAGCTTTCTCCATGATCCAGCGTATGTTGGCAATTTGATCTCTAGTTCCTCTCCCTCCTCGAAATCCTGCCTGTACTTCTGGTAGTTCTTGGTCCACATACTGCTGGAGCCTAGCTTGTAGAATTTTCATCATAACTTTGCTAGCATGTGAAATGAGTGCAATGGTGCGGTAGTTTGAACATTCTTTGGCACTGCCCTTCTTTGGGATTGGGATGTAAACTGACCTTTTCCAATCCTGTGGCCACTGCTGAGTTTTCCAAGTTTGCTGGCATACTGAGTGTAGAACTTTTACTGCATTGTATTTTAAGATTTTGAATAGCTCAGATGGAATACTGTCACCTCCACTAGCTTTGTTGTTGCTCAGACTTCCTAAGGCCCATTTGACTTCACATTCCAGGATGTCTGGCTCGAGGTCAGTGACCACGCCATCGTGGTTATCAAGGAAGTTAAGCTCTTTCTTGTACAGTTCTTCTGTATAATCTTGCCACCTCTTCTTAATCTCTTCTGCCTCTGTTAGGTCCCTGCCATTTTGGTCCTTTATCATGCCCATCTTTGCATGAAACGTTCCCTTCATATCTCCAATTTTCTTGAAGAGATCGCTGGTCCTCCCTATTCTATTGTTTTCTTCTATTTCTTTGCATTGTTCATTTAAGAAGGCATTCTTATCTCTTCTAGCTATTCTCTGGAATTCTGCATTCAATTGGGCGTATCTTTCTCTTCCTCCCTTACCTTTCACTTCCCTTCTTTCCTCAGCTATTTGTAAAGCTTCCTCAGACAGCCATTTTGCTTTCTTGCATTTCTTTTTCTTTGGGATGGTTTTAGTTGCTACCTCTTGTACAATGTTGTGAACCTCCATCCATAGTTCTTCAGGCACTCTGTCTATCAGATCTAATTCCTTAAATCTATTTGTCACCTCTACTGTATATTCATCAGGGATATCATTTCAGTCATACCTGAGTGGCCTAGTGCTTTTCCCTACTTTCTTCAATTTAACCCTAAGTTTTGCAACAAGAAGCTCATGATCTGAGCCACAGTCAGCTCATGGTCTAGTTTTTACTGACTGTATAGAGCTTCTCCATCTTCGGCTGCAGACCACATAGTCAATCTGATTTCTGTGTTGACCGTCTGGTGATGTCCATGTGTAGAGTCGTCTCTTGGGTTGTTGGAAGAGTGTTTGCTATGACCATCGTATTCTCTTGACAAAATTCTACCAGCCTGTGCCCTGCTTCATTTCGTACTCCAAGGCCAAACTTGCCTGTTATTCTGGTTATCTTTTGGCTTCCTACTTTAGCATTCCAATCCCCCATGATGGTAAGGACATCATTTTTTGGTGTTAATTCTAGAAGGTGTTGTAGGCCTTCATAGAACTGGTGAACTTCAACCTCTTCAGCACCAGTGGTTGGGGCATATACTTGGACTATTGTGATGTTGAATGGTTTTCCTTGGATTCGAACTGATATCATTCTGTCATTTTGGAGGTTGTATCCCAGTACTGCTTTTCCTACTCTTTTATTGACTATGAAGGCTACTCCATTTCTTCTGTGGGATTCTTGCCCACAGTAGGATACCTGATGGTCATCCGAATTAAATTCACCATTCCTGTCCATTTTAGTTCACTGATTCCTAAGATGTCGATGTTCAGTCTTGTCATCTCCTGTTTGACCACATCCAGCTTGCCTTGATTCATGGATCTTACATTCCAGGTTCCTATGGTGTATAGATCTTTGCAGCATCAGACTTTCCTTTCACCACCAGATACATCTGCAACTGAGTGTCCTTTCAGCTTTGATCCAGTCACTTCATTCTTTCTGGCGCTCCTAGTACTAGCCCTCTGCTCTTCCCCAGTAGCATATTGGACACCTTCCGACCTGAGGAGCTCATCTTCCGGCGTCATATCTTTTTGCCTTTTGGTACTGTCCATGGGGTTTTCATGGCAAAGATACTGGAGTGGGTTGCCATTTCCTTCTCCAGTGGATCATGTTTTGTCAGAGCTCTCTCCTATGACCTGTCCATCTTGGGTGGCCCTGCATGGCATAGCTCATAGCTTCATTGAGCTACGCAAGCCCCTTTGCCACGACAAGGCAGTAATCCATGAAGGAGACTATTGAACTAGTGAGATCCAAATTTAAATTCCACAGGTTTGGAACTCCCTAGGTGAAACCGAGTCATTTTTCCAACTGTTCATTAATGCATCAGAAGTTTCTTGCACATATCTATGAAAGCAACTTTAGACCATTTTACCACAACAATTTAATAAACAAGATGTTATGGTCAGCAGAAAAGCAAAGAATGCTCATGCACTTTCCCAAAGAGTTACAAGACATATTAGTGAAGTGGAGGAAGCAGAGGAGGACAGGAGAGCAAAACAAGGAGCACCTGTTATTTTAATTCCAGCACAAATACAGGTGACTTGGGGGAGTGTAGCACTCCCACCTTCCTCTGCCCTTTGGCAGGGATGTAGTGGCAAATTTAGAAGAGGGAGGTCTCAACATGATAGCCAGACACACAACTCAAAGCCATGCCCCCGTCAAAGCCAGACCCATTTCCAAGGTTATGCAACCTATGATTATACAGTGAGTTTTGTCACTTTGTTGGAATTTCTGTTGAGTAATGGATGTAAGATGACAGCTTCTCTATTTTTATTTATTTGAATTAATGTTTTTTAAAAATTACATTCATACCCCACTCTCCAGCCAAAAAATTCTCAGAGTGGCTTATGTGGAATTAATAAGGCACTTCCTGCTCACAGGCTTACTTTCTAAAAACATGACATACAAGGGGAACGGGACAGGGAGGGAAGAAGAAAAAAGGAAATTCAGGCACAAATTGCCCACACTTACAGAAACCCAGGTAGTTATATTCTTTCAAGAGCAGAAGTCTTGATTAGCAATCATTGTTTGGTTTAATATTCTGTGGCCTCTGCAACCACTGACTTTGTGTGTGCATATGTGTGAGAGATCCTCCATGAGTCCAGAGTCCTAGTTTGGGGGTTCCAGTTTCTCAAAATATCCAATAATCTTTTATTGTGCTCTCAGTGGCTTCACACAGAAAAATGCATAAAGTAGCCTAACTGAAGTCAGAGGAACTTAAGTTTATCAGACGTCATGGCTATTTTTTCCCATTGATTCCAGTAAATATACTCCAAATTAAGATACTATTATTATTATTATTATTATTATTATTATTATTACATTTTTATACTGTCCATAGCCAAAGCTTTCTAGGCAGTTGACAGCAATAATCATACAATCATACACTCAAGTCACCCATCCATTTTTCCCAAGTATTTGTTAGGCTAAGAGTTGCTAGAAAACACCTATTTGCTTCAGGCAATCAAATCCTCTTCCCCAGGAACTCTGGAAACTCTACTTCTTTGCATAAGGAATAGGTATCCACTAATGACACTCAGTACCCTTGAAAAACTAGTCCCCAAGATGCTTGGGGAAGTAATGACTGCTTAAAGTGGAATAAAAGTGTTCTTCATGTGTGGTGTGAATGCAGGGGGGAAGAGAGGTGGATTTTGGAGTAGTAGAGGCAAGCTGCCCACATGTTGCAGAGGAGCAGAGGCTGACCATGAGGGAAAAGGTCACAGAAAACACATGGGCATGCCTGGCAGGCCTCTCTGGATAGGTAGATCGCAGAAATTGTTGGAAACTATCGAAAAAACACCCCTGTTCTTCACGAATTTAATTTAGGACTCTTAACACAGGGACTGCCTGGAAATTTAAGCCCCTTAAAGGCAGTGGGGGAGGGAAAGTGACTCTGGTTTCAGGGACCCAATGCTCCTCCTGAGCCCCTCCCAAAATAAGCGGGGGCGTCCCGCCCCCCCACTACACCCTTGCCCTTGGGTTGCCCTTAAATCACCTCCTTCACCCTCAACCTCGGATTTGGAGTCTGCATGTAATCCACTTCGGTCCGGGGGTTGTTATCCTAGCAACTCCCCAGGAAAGTCCAGCCCCCAGCGCTTCCCGGGTCCCTCGTTCGCCGATTCGGCTCGGCGCTACCGATCACATATTAGCGGGGCTGCTCCTTCTACGGCCGCCACCTCCTCGTACGCGCTGCAGTGTCGCCGGCTGGCCACTATTGACCTGCATTGCTGTAGTAACGCGCAGGCACCCAGAGAGCTGGCAGCCTGCGAGCCAGGAGAGGAAAAGCGAGGCCAGGAAGGGAGCCGGCAGTGGGACGACTAGCCACCTGACCTGCCCCCGGCTGCGCACATTCCAAAACCTAATAAAGCGATGGGCCTTGGACACAGTCTCCCGGCGCTTCTCTCCCTATAAATACTCGCCCTGCAGCGAAAACAAGCTTTGGTGGCTTGCTTCTCCTCTGCCTACCTCAGACCGGCAAAAAAGCGGCGGCGGCAACAGCCAAGGCAACGCAGCCTCAGGCGAAGAGCACCCCTCCTCCACCTAACTAAACCGGCGAGATGCCCCGAGTAGATGCAGATCTCAAACTGGACTTTAAAGATGTCTTGGTTAGACCAAAGCGAAGCAGCCTCAAAAGCAGAGCAGAGGTGGGGGCATTTTCAAACAAGCATGCTTCTCCGCCCCGCTTAATACTTCGCATCTAACCTCTTTCTTTTATTATTTGCATTTGCCCGACTAACGGATTAATCGTCCTGTCATTTCCCGCCTCTTTTTTCCCTTTTCCTGACCCCAAATACAGTAATCCAGATCTTTCCATTTACGACCTCGTGGGGGGTTGCTTCTTGCGCATTTGCTAAAGTCACGCTACAGGCAGGGTTTCCATGGTTTTTCCTTTCTTTTTTTCGCTTCGCCCTTTGCGGAATGAGACCCCCAGGAAGGGCGCCTTGCTTAATCCTTTCTCCAGATATAGAACGCATCAGAAACAGATTGTGCTCGCTTCGCTCTTCCACGGGTTATTCGGTCCGGCAGGTGCATCTGCCGAGATTTTCGTTTTCTGCTTGCAAAATATCAGAATGGAGAGATGGGGGAAGGTGACCTAATGTTGGGCAGTAGCACCGTGCTCAGAATTGTTTGTAGAGACGCGGATAATCTCCTGGCATGACACATCATCTCTTGCAGGCTACGGGGTGGGCTGGAGCGGGGCCGATGGCTTCGAGTTACACACCGTGCATCACAGGCCTGCGATTTTATTGACTGGAGGCAGGGAAGGTAATGCCACAGTGAAGCGGTATTGTGAAGACAGGGCAGAGCTGGCATTCAGAACAGAGCCATGCAATAGAGGGTGGGGGAAAACACTGAATTTGTATATATCTGCAGCATTCAGATAAACATTCCCTTTGTGCTTAGCAGAAATGATTAGCTCTCTCTGTGTATGTGTTTTAATGCATTTGAACATAAGGCTAACTTCAACATAACTGAAAATGTATTTAGATTTTGTAATAATCAACATATTTAAATTTTATAACTGTTTTAAAAGAATGTTGAAGAACCATAGTAGCAAGTCATACAAGTCATAGTTTTATTTGTTTAGTCAATTAGCTCTCTGGGCTGTTCACAGGATAAAACTTTAACCATATAATATAAAAACTTAATAATATAATGTACTGTACAAACTTTTAAAAGTTAAACAACAACAACAAAATAAAACCAAACTAAAGCCAGAGCAAGCTCTATTGGGGGAGATATTAGTAAGAGGAGATGAGACATTTGAAACAAATTCGTTATGTGACAGATGGTGCTGAGAATATGCAGGAATAGAATTAAGGGGTGGAAATAGCCTGAAACCAGATTTTGTTTAAACTTCAGGTTATGCTTTGTTGTGTTGCAGATCATTCATTGAGGGGAAGGTTGGACTAGGTCAGTCTTACCCAACCTGGTGTTCTCCGGAAGGGATGGATCTCAACGGCACTGGATAATCTGGGGGCCACAGGCTAACTAATTGATGAAGAAATTTTCTAAGCTGGATCATAGTAAATTCATATAGGAAAATACATCCCTGTGGTTTCCTTAAGGGTTTTAAGTGTAAGAACCAACACATTGTATGTGTCCTGAAAGCAACATGGCAGATTATTATTTATATACAACATTTATGTACAGTTCTATATTTAGACAGATTCCAGAGTGATGAACAAAGTAAGATAAAAAGAATAAAACAACACAAAAATGTTGGTTTTAAAAACCATGGGAATAAATACTGGCTGGTCAATCAAGGAAGCCTTAAAAAAAAGTCTTTATGCTTTCAGGCTGTGTCAAAAACAACACAATGTTGGTTCCTGTCTGGCCTCCAGAGGCAAAGTGTTGCATAGAAAAGGAGCTACCACAGTGAAGGCTCTTCCCTGCATGGGCTCCATTAGAACACCCTAAAGCTAACCCTGGTTGTTAATCAGCTACTATTTTCTGGACAAGTTGTAGCTTTGGAACAGCAAAAGAGACATGTCCAGAGTATTGCAGTCCACTTGGGAAATTATTAGGGCATACAGCACAGCAGGCAAGCCCCTTTCAGAAAAGGAATCTTTGGGAAAGCCAACACTGATAAAACATGTTCTTGGCCACTGGTTCAGCTTGATCAGCCAGGGGAAGTCCCAGATCTGGAAGCATTCCCAAAGTATAAACTTGCCCTTTCCAGGGAAGCATGATTCCACTGGTGACATTTACACAGTGCTTAAGGCCAGATTAAGCATGTGCATTGACTAGGATGTCTGCAGCTAAGATGGAAAGTAATAGCTAAGAGCAAAGCAGTTGGCTTGAAATATATGCTCTCTTCCTTTTATTTTAAGGATGTATTTATTACATGCATGTATTATGGAACTATAAAGACATATACGTCTTCATAGTTTTACCTTTTTAAGTGTTTACATTTTTGAAACCGCATGCTGTAATTCTATATTTAATTAGGAACTTGCCTTAGAATAATGTTATCCTTTGCTGGTACAGAATACAGACTAAAACATTTTTTTTAACAGGTAGATCTCATGCGTACTTTCACATTCCGTAACTCCAAGCAAACCTACACAGGGATCCCCATTATTGTAGCAAATATGGACACTGTTGGCACATTTGAAATGGCACAGGTTATGACTAAAGTAAGTATGTATTAATTATCCCTCTGCTGAAAATAAAATAAAATCACCTGAATGATCTAAAATATAATCTGCTTACTCTGAGCTGTTCCATTTTCTCTAATAAAACTAATCTGAGTTAAAAGGATTCCAAATTCCATTCTTATGACTTGGCTGCCTTATAAATGTGAAGTAAATACCGCAGAATTTGGTGTAAGTGATTTAAGCATGTGCTTTACCTCAAATTAATAGCAGTACCTGTTTAAAATGCTTAGCTTTCTGATGTGCATTCTTAAACTATCGTAACAGTTATGATTTTTCCCACCGTATGCTGAGAAATGTGGATCTATAAGGATAAGAAATTTTGGACAGATTTCTCAATTAATCTTGACTTTGTTTGCTTCATAGTTTTCATCTGGTTTAGGCATTCTCTCATTGTTGTTGTTGTTTTTTTTTTTTTTGTGGGGGGGAAACAGATTTTTGAAATAGTTTCTCAAAATAGTACTTACAAGAAATCCAAAGAATACTTAGGGATTAGTTTCTTGTCTTTTATCTCCTGCAAACCTACATGGCTTCTGACAGGAAACTGATGCTTGACATTTTTAATTGGTAGAAAATTAAAGTACTTTGTAGATTGGACTCTTGTCAGGGCACAGTCCAGTTGAGATGGAGATGAGTGTTCATCCACTACATGGCAGGAGGAGTGGTGGAAGCAATCTTTGCCTCCCTGATCCTCCTGCTCTGCATTGTTGCTAGATGGCCGTTTTTGGTCTTCTTGTTGGGACACTTTGGAGAGGAAGCTGAAGAGGGCACAGGGCACATTACAGCCTGGATTCTGCAGTCTCCTCCCCTTCTTGCCCACTGGAATGTCCCCTTTACCACCTCTCTGAGGTTGAGTTCTTGTCCTTAGAAGGGCAGTCAGCTTAGCTTCTTTTTGGACCAGCTGTGTTAGGAAAGGGAGGTTGGTGTATAAATTTGGACATGTGTCTCCAGTCTTGGATTTAGGAATCTGGTATATCCTTTGGCTCCACAGATGATTTTACAGGGCATAAGATCACTCCTTCCATAAGCTAATAATGTATGATAGGAAAGGAAAAGATGATATACTTTCAGATTTTTTAGGGAAGTGGATTTTAGTTAAACTGCACTGAAGCCAAAGATGTCGGGTTAATATATGGCTGTCTTACATTGCTTATGTAAGCAATAATTGCATGTATGTATAAACAATAATTAGAGACGGAACCATTCAGTTTATACCCTGCTTTTTGACCTCTGGGCTCCCAAAGCAGCAATAATGTATAAAATAGAATACAATTCCTTTCCATTCACATGCTTTAAAATGTAGTCATTAAATCAGAAAAGTGAATGCAAAGGAAATTACATAACCTTGCATCTGTTAAGTGAACACCATTTCTTCAAGGTTATTAGATGAGACCAGTGATCAAAGTTGGCAAAGATTTGTATCAGTCTTTAAATATAAACCTTCTAGATAAGCCTGAAGAAGTTTTATCAAGTATTGCCATATGATTCTGTGGTGTTTGTTATTCTACCTGATTGAGCTTATTTTGTTTTAATTTCTTTTTCTATGCCACTCTGTCCTACATAGTGCCTTAAGGACTCCAACAAATGTTCAGGTTTTCAGAAGATAAGTGGACCCTGGCCCAACTGAGGTGCAACCCAAGCCTGTCATGCAGTGTTGACGGGCTCCTGTTTTTGTCTCTTTGCCTCCCCAGGGCTGCAGCACCTTTTCAAGTCCTGCTTTACAAGGATGGACAAGACCTCACTGCTTGAGGAATGGCTCAGGCTTGCCACTGACAGTTTGGCAGGCCGGCCTGGGGTTGTGCCTCTTCCCCTTATTTGGCCAGCAGTGTCTTTCCCTTAACAAGGGATGAGGCCTAGTCCAGCTGAGGCACTTAACTCTTATTTAGGTTCAACATATCACTGCAGAATTGCTTTGATTTTACAGATACAAAGGCCTTGAGAGCCATTTCTGATGGAATGCAGGGACATGTGTTTTAAAGAATTACTAAATTATTAAGTATAGACTACTGGTATACTATGATCTCCGACCTTTTGTCTGTAAACTATACTACTGTCTGAATTCTATTGTGTATCTTGGAGGTTTGCAGCCTTACTTCTTTGCCAGGATAGAAGTAAATGCCTAGAAGTAACTAAATTTACCAGTAATGCCAAAAGTTATGTGATGTGGGATCCATGTACTCAAGCATGAAACATATATGAATCCTGCATCTGAGGAAACACCTTTTCCTCCTACTGTTTTTTCTTTTCTGTATAGTAGAAGAAATTTACAAGGAATTCTGGTTTTGCCCTGCAATTTTCTTTAGTCAAATAAGAAATTAATATACTGTCTTCTGGCCGTGCTTCCTATTTATTATAAATATAAAAATATAATCTCATTTGTTTGTTTTTCCTAGTATGCAATGTTCACTGCAATTCACAAGCATTACTCTCTGGAAGAGTGGAAACTGTTTGCAAGTAATCACCCAGAATGCCTAGAGGTATGGCTTCGTTAATTATTAAGTGTAATTGCTGCTCTTAAAACTACATTTCTTGGAATTTAGTGTGTGTGTGTGTGTGTGTGGGGGGGGGGAATCTCATGTGCACAAAGAAAAAGTATGTATTCATTGCAAGAGAGTATTTTTAAAGTGATAAACGTTACTTTGTAAATGCCAGTGTAAAGGAGTGGCACCTCATCTCCAGAAACCCTCAGCCTTTTTCACTCCCAGTGGGAAGAAAACCACAGTTCTCTTAGACCAGGGTGCAGAATCACAGGCCTGGGAGGCAAAACTGACCTTGAGGTTTGACTGTATCCCTCTAGGGCTGTCTCTCTTTACCTACTTGCCTCTTCCTCTGAATTCTTTCACTTCCACAACAGCCAGTACTAGCATAATATTGAAATTGGGGAAGAATATTTGAATGTAAAGGACAAAAACCAAAACATTTTTATCCTGCTTGAAATACTATGCAAATATTTTGGTTGGTACAGTTGAGCAACAATGATATGCAGATTAAGGTCTGGTTTATAAATGCGACAAAATGTGATGAAAGAATGAATTAACACAGTTCAGGTTACTAGTGGAGGGGCTGGTTTCTCCCTGTAAGAAAACAAGCAAGTAAGAAGAAATAGAAATTAAGATATAAAACATGAGCTAAAGCACTGTAAAATATTCAAAACAATGTTGTAAGGAAATGGCAAAAGGTCAAGAAAAGGTTTAGATTTTTGCAAACATTACTGAGACCAATGGGAGCATTAAAAATAATCTAGAAATGTGCTAAATGCCCCCCCACACCTTCTTTTTAAAAATAGGTGGCTAAAGTTATAGTGATAGATCTACTAAGTCACAGCACTCAAGAGAAAATAATACTATGCCTAAATTAGTGGGTAGCATATCTGGGAATAAAAGATTCCCATTAATTCTTAAACTGCAATCCCTGACTATAGTTCCCACATCTAGACTTATACTAGATCTTTAGATCTGAAAAACTCCCATCTGTCAATCTTTCCTTCCTTCATCTTTTCCTTTCCCAGATAAATATTCTAAGATTTTATTGTCTTTGATCATCCCGTTAGGCTTCTTCCACAAACAGATCCAGAGAGAATGCTTTTGACCTCATTTGTATAAAAGTCATTGATCATTTTCATCCTGTCTTTTCAGCATGTAGCAGTGAGCTCAGGCAGTGGAATGGCAGACTTTGAGAGACTGACAAATATCCTCGAAGCTATTCCACTTATCAAGTACATCTGTCTGGATGTGGCCAATGGCTATTCAGAACATTTTGTGGAGTTTGTGAAAGCTGTCCGTGTAAGATTCCCAAAGCATACCATCATGGTAGGTTTGATGAGAGAAGTGAGGAGATGAGTTCATTTGTTGTTTGGTAAAAAAGGTTGTTTCCAACAAAGGTGTATCTTTTGTGGCTTCATAATTTCTGGAGGACAGATGTATTTTACTTCTGGAGTACTGAATACTGTATACATTTTGTATTGGTGTCATTCATTATTACAGCTACTGGCTGGGGAATGTTGCAGTTCTAGGAGTTCTTTCTGTCTAAGCATGCATTCCTCTTTTTAGAGGAAAGAGGATATAGCTTGGTTTTAAAGCACACCGTTTACATGCAGAAAGTCGACCTCAGGAAAAATCTCAAAGAGAAAGGAAAAATCTCAAAGAGAAAAAACTCTCAGAAAACCTTACTGTCCAAATCCCCTAGAGCAAAGTCAGCTTGTCCATTTCTTGCCATGTCTCCTCAGGCCAGAGCAGAGTCCATCTTCTTTTGGATCAATACAATTGATAAATGGTGACCGAGTATGCACCAATGTGTCAGTATCAAGATTGCCTTTTAGATACCTAACAAGCTGGGAACATTTTTTCTAGTAGAGCCAAATTCTACTCTTTTCCATACCAATCACTCAATTTAGGGATTCTGTCACCTTCTCAACTTTGGGCAAAAATTTGTCTAGCAGCCAACAGCAGAAAAGAAATCAAATCTTTCTGCAAATGTTTAATGTTTAATTCATTAGTTAAATTAAGTAAAGATCTAGAATGATTGATTGATTTTATTAATTTCATTTTCAGTCTCTCCTCTGAAGCACTGAGCAAATAAGCATGTCCAGCAGTGGCGAAAGTACATACCTAAGGCTTCACATGCCCTCCAACATAATGAAGAGTAATTCTTGCAAGCTTCACTGGAGTAAAATGTTATCTATAGATCACCTTGACTGAACTTTTATTTCTTAGATATATCCCACATTCTCCTTACAACAAACTAAAAACAACTTACATAATTCTTTTCCTCCTCCTCTCAGTCTTATTCCCACAACAACAACCCTGTGAGGTAGGTTGGGCTAAGCACTTGTGATTAGTCCAAAGTTGGTTCCATGGCAAAGTGGGGACTAGAACCCAGATCACCTGATCTGTGCTCTTAACCAGTATGCCACACTTACTCTCAACTTTCTCTAATATGAGCTGAGATTGATTTCAGTGGATGGACAGACCAAATTTTACCCTAGCTCTTGCTCCCAGGATAATTATTATAATTAGCAATATCAAGGAGGCATTTATAGATTTTTGAAAAAAAATCCATTAGAGCCCAGACTATAGCTAAGGAGGTACTTTTGACATTGTGTAAGTTGCCTTGTAGCTTACTGTTCGACCAATGGATCCTTTAAAAAGCAAGAGTATTTGATGAACTTGGGGAACCGTGTATTAGAAATATTAGAAATTCTATCTCTAATTTGTTATCCTGTTAAACACAAGCTCCTTGGAAAGAAATCTAGCAACTTACATAAGCCTCATTTTTCCCAACCTGCAAATTGAGTTGTTTTATTGGAAACAAAATTGGTTGGAAAAACAGGGGATAGAACTTTTTTTAAAGGTGTAAGTAGTGAAATTTAGGACATTAAATACTTACACCATTTATTCCATATTTTTAAATTTCAAAAAGGTTTTTTATATTATAGCTATATTTCTGTTATTAGTGTTGGATGAACAATGTAGGGCAAACAATCCAGACAGACACTGTTAAATTGCAAAACAATATTAAACTCAAGAGGGTATGTGTTAGGCAGAGGAAGTTATTAAAGGGAAAATGGTGCCTTACATTCGAAGACATAGGCACAGCTATGGAACACAGTCAGCAACTTGTCCAAAAGGACCTAGTGTCCGAGTTCGCATTTAAGGACAGGTCTTGCATGCATTTAAGTACAGGTCAAAGCTGTATGTCTCCTTCTAGACCAGTTTGACTCTCAGGAGGATGGGCTGAATTAAGGTTTGGAATGAATGTTTCAGACTTCCATCTCTCTAGTGTCAGGGACCATTATTGGAGATCAAGAAAAGTGAGCACTGGGGGAGAGGTATGGATAAATGTGGGGGGGAAGCTGTGACAACTGTGGTCATGGTTGCAGTGGGAACAGAATACAGAACAGTTCCCTCTGTGGAGTCCCTTGGGGTACCTACTGGAAGACTTAAGGGTAAAGGAGGAGGAAACACCCTGCAGCAAGCCCGATGGTCTGTCGGGCACACTGCAGCTAGTTCCAGGAAGCGGCTCAGGATGGGTTGTCATGCTGTCGCATGCACTCACAGAGTAGATGAAGTTTTTTTCTATATTGAAATTGCAAGTGGCTATGGAAGGGAAGAGTTTAATAACAGACAATGCATTGTGGGGCTTTGCAGGCTACTCTGTTCTGGATCCTCACACTGAGCTTTTTGTAGTCAGCGGAGATCACACACAGCAAAACTGCAACCTGATCCAGAGCATTCAGCCACGTTTTGCTTTTTTTGGCTCATATAACATGTGAACCTCGAAGTCCATTAAAAAAACAAAAACCAACACTGCCTACAGTTCATAACACCACACATTTCTCTCCTGGGCTGAGGAAGTCTTGATACTTTTAGGAACTGAGTTGCATATCAGAATTCTCATATAGCCAAGAATCTTCCCTGTCATAGAAAGCTAAAGTATTTGATGGTTCTTACTTCATGATAAAGATGAATAGTGGGCTGATACGGAGTGGCTTACTTGGTATTTCTAAAATTATAAATGGTATGGAGAAAAGGAAATGTTGTGCCCTATCATTTAATCAAAAAGCTTTAGAAGAGTGGGGAGATAAAAGTAAGTACTTTTAAATATTTTGAGAAACGGAAAGAGAGCAGTCTGTGCATCTTTTTTAAGAGGCTGAGATTAAAAATAAAAGGTTACCGTATTCAAGCATTAAAAAGCAGGTTAAAAATGCCACCTTAAAAAAAAATCTGGGGGCAGGGAGCAGTCTCATGGCTATCTGGAACATGCTTCCGATCCAGATCAGGGCTTTGGGTCATTTTCATGGTGAAAATTGTGTTCATAATGATTTGCCCTGGAAAGGACTGTTGGCAATAAACATTTAGGCCTCTCTCTGGATTGGCAGCATATTCTGGAGCAGAGAGGTTCTGACTTCTATCCTTTAAAAAATGAAGTGTTTTAGTTTAGAAGCAGCTTAAGCATGCTTTAACAAAGATGCAATTTGTATTCTGGTGATATATTAATATAACATTTGCTGACTTGTGGTAAGGAAAAGTTTTTCTTTCTTGTGTGAGCTAGGGTAACAGGAGCTGCAAATGGACCCTTGTTGTTCTGCAGCAGTAAGACCCATCAGCTTTATTACATCTCCCTATCAGGCAGCTTCTGACGTACATGTATAATCATCAGAGGGTTTTTTTCTGACCCATCACAGAGATGAAAAAGTGAGGATAAGCTCAACAAAGTTGTATGTTTGAAGTTCTTCCCACTTTGCCCTCTCTGCATGTATGCAAACATAAACAGGAAGAATAATGGTCATAACTGCATTTAATTATTTGATTTCTATCCTTTCCCTTTGTTACGAGGAACTGAGAAGCATTTCAGGATGCAATCCTGTGTAAGTGTAGACAGGAAAAAGCCAAAGCATAGGTGGGTGGGCATGATTGTGGGTGGGCGGACCTGCTGCTATGTACATACCATTAAGAACTCCATGGAGGAAGGGAAATGTCTTTAACTAAAACTTAGTTATTAACTAAAAGTAATAACTAATGCAAGTGCAATGTAACTTGTAGAAGCATGATTTGTGTAAACTGGTAGGTACTTGTGCCATGAATGTAAGTATAATAGTGCTTCTTTTGCAAATATAGGCCTTTACTGAATGAATGGTTCATCTGGAGCAAACCAAGGGTTAGCCATTTGATTGCTGAAGCTAGTCATGACCAGCAAATTGCCTCTTCCCTGAAGGCTACAATCTTGAGCACGCCTACTAGGAAGTAAGTCCCATTTAATCCAATGGGGCATACTTAAAAGAGTGTTAAGGCACTGTAAGAAATGGCAATTCTGAACTGAATGCTTCCATTCTGTGGCCCATTTCCCTGACCTACTTTGTTAAACAGAATTTCAGTTCTTTTGGGTAAGAATTTCTGTAAGTTTTAATTTAATGACAATAATTGTGCAATATCACTTACAACAGATAAGTAATTGTACTTTGAAGGTGATAGGTGTATTGTGTGCAATGCACCAGAAGAAAAATGACTCCTGGCTTGAAAACAAGTGTTGTCCATGGCACGTATGCAAGGCAAAGAAGCAGCACATTCTGGTGGCATCAACAGCTTGTGCAGGATAGGACCATGTAGTGTTCTGTCCTTGGGGCTTTTGCACACCTGCTCATCACTTGGTGAACATAGGGTGGAAATTGTCTTGGTGGTCATGATAGAGTACCTAACTCCCAACGTTTCTTCACTTGTGCACCCACCTTTCTAATTTGTGATGTTCTTGCCTATATTCTTCAGGCAGGTAATGTAGTGACAGGAGAGATGGTAGAAGAACTTCTTCTGTCTGGAGCTGACATTATCAAAGTGGGGATTGGACCAGGTAAGCTGATTCAAAGTATACAGTAAAAGTCCCCCTTTATATTCCTATATCTGAGTCACTCACTTGCACAAAAATGTTAGGAGAGTCTATACACCCCCCTCTCCATGTAATCCTGGGTGTGCTGTGACTGGAGACAAGGTTGGTAAAATAGATGGTTAGGGCCATATACCACGATGTGAGGGTGCAGCAATACCAGATGCAGTCAAGGCTCTCCTTTTCCTATTCACATATGGGATGCAGAGCAAAGATGATGATGCTGTAGTGACTTTAGATTGAGAACATGCTCCATTGCCAGCAACTTGGATTCTGGGGTTTGACATTAGGAACTCATCTCTTCTAAAAGCCGTCTGTCCAAGGCATTTACTCTATATCTGTGATTCTTCATTCATGGTAGTTTGTGAGTGCTTTTCATGACACTGTCACTGTCCAGGGTCTCTCCTGTGCTTTGCAACTATTTTAGCATTTTTTTCCTAACCTGATATGGAAGATATACACAACCACATAGTTGTTGTGTAATGACACATAAATTAAGGCAGAGAAAGAAATTCCTCAGGAAAAATATGTGTAAAGGAGTTGATCTTAATCATTCAGAGAATCCAGAAGCAGAAGTCTTGGTAATGTGGAGGGTTAAAAACTTAACCCTATGCCTGCAATTCCTATATGTGACATGAGAACTAGAGCATTCTATTTGAAAAGTTGTCTTGAGGATGAATAAAATGAAAGCGGCAAAGTGCGCTAAACATTGAAAGTGCTATATGAATTAATGAATGTATGAATAAATAACCACCTGCTGAACAGGCAGTGCTATAGAGTTGAAAGAACATACTCCTCTTCCAAAATCAAAAATGCTTTAAGCTGTACCAGCTTATCATTTGAAAATAAAATGGAAGCTCAACCTAACCAGACTTCTTTACTCTCATGAGTGAAAATGGGAGCCTTAGTCTGTTGCTCTATTATTTTTACACTGGGTAGTGGATCCACACATATCATTCCATTTTCCTATCTGAATGAGTCTTTAGCCATCCTGAGTCATTATGGCCTGAAGTTACTCTAAGTCACACATAGTTTGGGCTTAACACCTCAACTTATTAACATTGGTTTTGAGATCAACTACAGGCTGCAGGATTGTACATTTTTTCATACGTACCACATATGAATCCCCTGCATTGCATGGGAAATGGTTATTAAGGTTTAACAGGCAGCATAGGAAACATTTACACAGTCTAAAAGCCAGATTAGTTTACTGAAGGCACGTCAAAGCCCTGTGGCACTCAACGTGTTAGAAAGAGCGTCAGCCTTGAAGTTGCCCCCTCAATCATTCTACAAATAAGGGCTGCCCTTTCTGTGGGAATGAAGCTGCTTGCCTTACTGAAGTGACTTTGCTTCCACGATTGGGGGCTGCAGAGCCTGTATGCATGCTGACAGACTCTGCAATCATGAGAGAGAGAAACTTCATAAAATTGTCTTTCTTTTCTGGCATGACATGCTGCTTGCCCAGGCAGCTTTGGAGGCCAAGCCTGCCACAGATAAAGGGGATGTAAGCCTTCTTCCACTCATTTATATCCTTCAATCATATTTCATCATTTTGTTAAGTGACCTATGTATCATCTTTGGCATGGATTATTTTATTTCTTTCTAAGTATCCTCACATCTGAGGAGAAGTGCCTTGGCTAGACAAGCCCCTGGTATTAACACATTCTCGTAACCCTGGCTTGCTAGAGAGGGAAACCATTAAGCCAGGAAAGTACCTGAAATAGTGCACTGAACTGCTGATAGGATCACCTGTTATGCTGCTCTTCCTTCTTCAACCTTGTGAATCCTATTAGGCAACATTTGTGGGGTTAAGGGGTCTTGTGTGCACTCACTCTACTTAAAGCTAGTACACCCTTTTAGGAAAGGCCCTTGCAACCTGTCCAGCCCCTGCAGGTGTATCATTACCAGGCAGCCACAGCCTCAGCCTCTGTGGGTGACATCACTACAAAGTTGCTCCTATGTGCATACTGCTGACTGTAGAATACACCAGTGATTGCACCTTTCCTAGTTCTCTGGAACATCATCACTGTAGTTTCATCTTTTGTTTTTTCTTTAATGTCTAGGATCTGTATGCACCACTCGGATAAAAACTGGTGTGGGTTATCCACAGCTGAGTGCAGTGATTGAGTGTGCGGATTCTGCCCACGGACTGAATGGCCATATCATTTCAGTAAGTAGGATTTGCATTACATTCCACAACAAGGGTGTAAATTGAACATTTCAAGGAAGCCAAGGAAAAGTTTTCTGGGATCATTTTGGAATACTAGTTGCTCTTCATTAAGGCTCAAAAATTTTTCAAAGGTATGAATCTGAAACTTGCACATAACCTCAGTCAGCCAGAAGTAGTTCCTTGAAATGTGCACTGCACAGGCTAGAAGAAAACGTCATGAACCCTGGAACACTGGTATACTGTTATATATTACAATTACTCCACATTACATCAGCACAGGTCACAGTGGCTTGGTTCAGTGAACGTAGCATCATGTTGGTGCATGCTGCCTGGTCATTTCTGCTGTAAACAGGAGCGGCTAAACAAGTGTTGCTTTATATGTGACTAGAAACTCTTCCTTGTCTCAGCAAGCCAGAGACATAATCTAGCAATATACAAGGGTTATTTCTCTTGCAGTTTGTCAGGAGACTCAAGCTGGAATTCCTGGTTCACATTAGGTAGCACGAAACATTAACTAGGCAATCCATTAGCCATTTAGCCACCTCTGCTTGTAGTAGGATTCATCCCGCAGCATGGGCTAGAATGCTTCTGTTTTCACAATAATCAAACTTTAAAAAATCTGGGTTATTGTGGTGTGTGAACCAGGCCTGCCTGTCTGCAAGGCTTTGATCATTTCAGTATCCAAACCAAAGGCGAAATAAAGGACTGCTTGCCTTGATTTTCTAAAATTACTGGCTGAATTACAGTTTAATATGAAAAAAGCACTATAACATCATATGCTAGATACTTTAAAGTTTCCCATCCTTGTGCTGCGTATCTGTAGCAGGTGTCCAATTACCTCCCCCAACCCCAAGACCAAATCCATAGGTTTGTCAGGCACCTGGTGTTTCGAAGCTATGCTAGTTGGTTTTTTTTTTTTTTGGGTGGGGGTGGTGACTGAAATAAGCCTACATGGTTAAAAATACAAACTGTTCCTTCTTAATTCTGTGTTCCTTTGGGGGAGATCCAGCTGGATCTTATATTTCATAAAACTTGCTGATGTTTGTCTACTATTTCATAGAGCACAGGCTAGTCACAGCAAAAATCCTGTTTTGAGCAGGCAAGTTCAGCCAAAGTTCATATCAAATTAATTTCTTGTCTATGTTAGTTTTACATATTAGCGCATACCTTTTTCCTACTATAAAGTAATGATGTAAGTATTTCTAGATTGCAGAGAAGAAAAATCATTTACATATCTCTAAACATGTTAAAGATGGTGTCAAAGAATTGTAAGAGTTGGAAGGAACCATGAAGGCCATTAGGTCCAACTCCCTTCTGCTGCAGGACACCAGTTTACACCATCCCACTCAGGTGGCTGTCCAGTTTCTTTTTGAATGTCTCTGTTCTGGGAGAGCCCACGACTGCTCTAGGCAACTGGTTCCACTGTCATATTGGTCTGAACATGAGGAATCTTCCTGATGTCCCGCCTGAATCTGGGTTGTTGCTACTTGACTTGATTATTCTGTGCCCTACACTCTGCTGTCAGCAAGAAGAGATTTTGACTCTCCTCTTTGTGTCAGCCTTCGAGGTACTTATAGAGGGATATCTTGTCCCTCCTCAGTCTTCTCTTCTCAAGGCTGAACATGCCCAGTTCTCTCAGTCTCTCCTCACAGGGCAGTGTTTCTAAACCCTTGATCGTTTTTGTTGGGCCCTTTCTAATTTTTCTGCATCTTCCTTAAATCTTGGTGCCCAGAACAAGACAGATGAGGTCTGACTAGTGAGGAGTATAGGGGAACTACTAATTTAACTGCAAGAAAAATGGCTACTTGTTCCATCACTGCTTTTAAAAATATAAGAACATAAGAGCCAAGCTAAATCGCACCAAAACCTTTTCTAGACTGGCATTCTGTTTCCACACGGGCCAACCAGGTGCACCAATGTGAAGCCCATGGGCAGTTCATGAGTGTAATAATACCTGTCCCATTTATATTTCCCAGCAGCTGATGTTGAGAGAAGTAGTGTTTCGGACTCGCCTCGTATAACAATGCATTGTTTAGTAGGAACCCTTAGCATGCCTGCAGAAAAGCCAGAGTAAAGGAAAGGCCCCTGATTTATTTCAACTGTAGTCTTCTCTCACAGCTGTTGAGAAGAAAAGCGACAAGCTCACCATCATGCTTTGTAGAGAGCTCTAGTTCCTTGGGCTGAAACCATCCATCCATCTAGCTGTCTATCTAGCGGGCATCTATCTATCTCAGTTATTTGTTAAGCACCTTCAATATAAATCATGAGGCAGCTTTTAACATGTCAGTTTTGCATACTGCATATGCTGAATGTGCCCTCCTGTGGCTAGACCTAGTATTTTATCATATTATGCCAAATGAAGTTCCAACTTCTAGTATTTAAGTATAGCTTTTAAAATGTAGGGGCACTTCCAGACCAGCTATTGTCCCCAAATAAAAGTAACTTGCTCAGATTACTTTGTGGTGATCTTAGAAATCAGATCAGCAGAGGGACAGGCTTGAGAAGGAGGTCTGTATTAAGTTGGTAGATCCATTTTAGTTTCCTGTTTTGGTCACCATATTTTAAAGAATGAATTCAGAGAATATGGGGATACTTTGGCCTGCTGTATGAGGAGCTGCATGCTGTAGCCAGAATTTAGTATTTGCTACATCAGGGCAGTGTGTTTGGCTCTTCATGAACTGTCTCTGAATTGGTTTATATAGAACAATTATGTACTGGTTTATGTATGTATATACTTAGAGGACTTATACATCATTCAATGGAATGATTAGCAAGGCAACATTCAGCAAATTGTAATAATGTAAAATTTACAAAATTCATACACATACGCAACCTTATGACAGAAGTCAGAGTGCACTTGCCTTCTGTTTTCTAGTGTCAGGACAACTGACAGTTGAACTAAGCATACTTTTAGTGGGAAGGGGGAAACAAAACAAAAAGAGTCAAATTCCATGTTAGGTATGCAGGTATGCCTCATGCTATCGCTCTTCACTTTATTACACTTTGCAAATATTGCATTTTTTAAAAAGGGAAGGTTTGTGGCAATCTTGCATCAAGCAAGTCTGTTGGCACCATTTTTCCAACAGCATTTGCTCACTTTGTGCCTCTTTGTCACATTTTGGTAATTCTTGCCATATATCAAACTTCTTCATTAGCATTATATTTGCTCTGGTGATCTGCAATCAGTGATTTTTGATGTTACTGTTGTAATTGTTTTGGGCTGCCATGAACTGCGTCTGTATAAGGCAGCAAACTTAATAAATGTTGTATGTGTTCTGACTGTTCCACCAACCAAATATTTCCCCATCTCTCTCCCTCTCCTTGGGCCTCCATATTCCCTGAGACCCAATTATGGTGAAATTAGGCCAGTTAATACACTACAATGACCTCTAAATATTCAAGTGAACTGTAGAGTTGCACATCTCACTTTAAATCAAAGACTAGGAATGATTAAGTTTAGTGAGGAAGGCTTGTTGAAAGCTACGAGGATAAGCCAAAAGCTAGGCCTCCAAGTTGTGAAAGGCAAAGTCCTTGAAATAAATTAAAAGTGGAATGTTAGATTTGAATTGTTGTTTTTATTGTTAACATTTGGTATGAGAAGTACAAAAGCATCCTCTGCTTGCTGCATATGCATAACTTCCACCTTGGTCACCTTAAATTTTCTGACAATTTCTGATCTGTGCAAAATCTGGGACTCTCCTCCACAATTGTGAAAATGTATGCAATTTGTACATATTTTCACACTTTGCAGAGCAGGGGTCCAACTTTTAAGACTTTCCTCCCTAATTGAATTCCTCACACATATTGAGCAATATTGAGCATCAGATGTTTCTCTCTTTCTATGAGTCAAGATTAGCTGATGACCATCCCATTGTTGGATGCAGCCTTGCATCAAACTGGTGATGGAACGCTTGGTTGAGTAATCCAAACCACACCTAAAGTAACTGGCTCAGTCTTTACTAAATCCAGTACTGGCTGGCTCATAATAATGGTACCCTTGGGAGGATACTCTTTTTTTCTGCCCATCCTAGCAGGGCTACCTATTGATGAGACCCTCAGTAATGGCTCTGTTTCAGGTTTAGCCACAGGATAGAATTGGGGAGCAGCCTGAAGGCTCTAGTACTAAGGAAAAGCTCTTGGTGATTCTCATGTCTCTTGGTCAGTGGAGAGACTTAACCCATATGCCTCCGTCATATCTGACTGGAAAGAAGCTTCACTGTAAGTGAGTCGTTGTTTGTTGGATGGACGGGGTTTTTCCCTTGTTGATATGTTCTTCTTGGGAATGAAGTCCCTGGTGGCATTCACTGGAAGCTAAGATTATGCTGTTTCCCTTTCAGTGGTCTCTGTATATACGCCTACATTCTTAGTTAAAAAGAAGCCTCCATTTTCTGGCAAATGGAGCATAACAAATTAGGTTTGAAGTAATGAACATGACATGAATATATTAAGCCTATGAGATACATTGAGCAAACTGAATGAAGTTAACACACTGTGGGATAATGAAATTGTGGCTTTTTGCCCCTGCTTTATATGCATTTGTTTTGATACCCATATGGCATACACATATGAAGAGGCCAATGAACCTATGCTCAGTATACAAAATCTTTCTCCACCTCCCCCACCATCTGAGGCATACATATCCTGAATTAGCATGTGGAGAGTTGAATACAATGGCAAATGCTTTAAGGGATCCTTTCTCTGCTCCTTCCATTGCCCTTTTAATTAAGGGGGAAAAAACCGTTCTTTAACTACATGCACATATATACAAAATAGACTTGGCGATTACTTCACTTCCTGTGGTTAAGCTGCAGAGGGCAATAACTTTATCATTCCAAATGGACTTGTATGTATATTTAACTGCTTGTGCTAGATAAAACTATTAGTTGGGGCAGCAACAAATACGAATGTTGGCACTGACTTCTCCCCCACTCTTTTATGTAGGATGGGGGATGTGGCTGTCCTGGAGATGTTGCCAAAGCTTTTGGTGAGTATCCTGAATTGTGCAAGGAGCATGAACAGCCTTAGGATCATGCCATACAGCGTCTAGTTTAATGTTTTGTTTCCAGATTAATGATCAAGAATCTTAGATGATGGAGACCACACATTTCAGTACAGGCTGATACAGACCAGCCTTTGTCTGTTTCCTGCAACCCAATAATTAGAGACTAGATTTGGCATTTGGATATGAATTTCCTCTCCTTAATTTTTGTAGCAGTAACTACTGTGGTTCTATAAATTCTGGCTGTTAGTGTAGTTGCCCAGTTCTTCTCTGAATTATGATCCTGGCTGACATGTGTTCTATTATTAGCATACAGTGGGTATCCCCCCGTTCCTTTGGTTGGGTTTCTAGGACAACTTCTTGCCTAATACTATTCTTTGCTGTTGTGGATGTAAAGCAACACTGGAGGACTAATGTTTAATTTATTTTAAAAATGTATAGCCACCCTTTAGGGGGAAACCTTTCAAGGAAACCATATGTCTGTCTGTGTAATACAATACATAACTTGTATGCATGCTGCACACTTGAAGAAAGGAAACAAAATAGCCTTGCTGTAAAAGGCCAGAAATGCACATCTGAAAATCCCATTGCAAGGAATGGGTTTTACAAAACTGTGCAGGGGAGTGTGCAGAGGATGGCGTCCAGTGGCTAACAGAACAACAATCATACCACTAACTGTTCCTAAATGTAATCAAAACAAGTTAAGTGATGGAGGATCTTAGGGATAAAGGGAGTAGAATTAAGAACTATTTCCTTGAATAGAAGTTCAGTCGAAAGCAGTTTACCAGATACAAACTGTGTGGAACTGCATGATCTTGTGAGGTGGAAAAACGGTATGCTCATTGTTCAAATTTGGACATATTGGCGTTTGGCCTGAAAGTGCCAGTTTAGAACTCTGTTTTGAATAACTCTCATACCAAAATCCATTCTTGGACCATAATTCTGCTTAGCATGTTCCTTTTGTTGATACCATACCTTTCCTTAAACCTATTTCTAGGAGGCTCAGTACACTGAAAGGAGGCCAGTTATGATCTCATTGCTACAAAAAGCTTTATTTCAATAGGAGTCTTCCCATGAATTCAAGAAACAAGAATCAACTTTCAAGAATTGCACTGGTTTTCCTTCTAATGCTTTGTTGGCCTGCAGAGTTTCTTTACTTTCATTTGTTTGTCATACAGTGGAAAAGGTGCCTTCTTTGAAATGTGTGGAATTATGGATGGAAAATCTTGGCACCTGACTAGTCAGGGTCAAAACAAAACAAAACTTTCATCCAAAAATGAAGTTTGCCCTTGAAGATGTCTGACTGTAGTAAATGGAAGAAGAAATATTTCAATGATAACTAACTATCCTCTACTAGCAGAGAAATTCTAGTTTAACAACAGTGCTGTTTCATTACTGAACTTTAGTAATGGGCCAAAGAAGACACAGCTCTCTCTTCTTCCTTCTTGTCATTATGAAGTCATGTATGTAAATTCCAACAAATGCCACCACCATTCTATCCCTTACAGGCCATGGTTCTCAATGTATGTGGAAGGCTTTCCTCAGTGCTTTTTTTGTAAAAAAAAAAAAAGTGCCGGAACTCATGTCTTGGGGTCACACTTTTACACAATGGTCACCGCCAGCAGTAAGCACTCAGTGCGCGACCACACTACCGATCCCAAGCCGAGCAGCATCCCAAGCTGAGCAGCACCCTCACAATCAGCGCCGACAATCAGCACCAACACACAAGCAGCCCGCAGGCATTCTGTTAATGATTTTTGCTGCCAATCTGCTACGCCCAACAGGGTGATTCACAGTCACTTGGAAAAATCCGTCAAAAAAGGGTGCCGGAATGTTGTTCCAGTGCGTTCTATGACAAAAAAAGCCCTGGCTTCCCTTAGGAGGTTTGGAGACTTGTGCAAAGAACATACAAGAACTTGTCTCTGACCCAATTTTTCTGTCGTTACTTCTCCTCCTATCCTCATAGAATATATTTCCTTAATATAATAAATGGGTGTTATGATGCACACTAGGAGGCATTTTTCTTTTGACTTCATTCTTCTTTTGCACACCCAAATACATTATTATTATTATTATTTTACTTTAATACTTTAATAACAATTTGTTGTTGTTGTCGTTAGTCACGCAGTCGTGTCCAACCCATTGCGACCCCATGGACAACATTCCTCCAGGCCTTCCTGTCCTCCACCATCCCCCGGAGTCCACTCAACCTCACACCAACTGCTTCAGTGACTCCATCTAGCCACCTCATTCTCTGCCATCCCCTTCTTCTTTTGCCATCTGTTGTTCCCTTTTGGCTTCCTACTTTAGCATTAATAACAATAAAGTATTATTATTAATTATATTATCATCACTGTTAATAAATTATTAATTCATTAACAGTATTTCTATCATTTCCCATTTGGCTAAATCTTAAAGTAGTTTACAAAAGACTGCAACAAATAATAACTGTATTAGCAAATGCTTGTAAGACTTGGGAGAAAGGCAAAGTAAAAATATATTTAAAGAAATGCCTTAAACATGCCAAGGTTGAAGCCTGGCTTGCCACAGAGGTGAGTATTTCACAAGGCAGGTGCCACAGCAAAGAAGGCCTGCTGCCTTCTCCGTATCACTACCAAGCAGACATCCATAGGTAGTGCACAGACAACAGGGTCTGCCTGAATAGACTAGTTCAATAGGTTTGCATAGGTGGAGTTGTTCCATGAAATAACCAAGTCTTGAGTACTACAAAGCTTTATATATTAATTCCAATGTTTCAATAGCTTCATAGCTGTTTGACAGCCAGTGTAGGTGCTTTTGCACAGGTGGAATATGTGCACAGGAAGGCACACCATTCAGTAATTAGGCGTTCTGTACTAACTACAGCTGCTAAGATGACCTTAAGAGCAGACCTGCACAGAACCATTACAGTAATCCAGTCTGGAGGTTACCAACGCGTAGATTACAATGGCCTGGCTATCTCTTTTCAAGAACAGGCAGAGTTGGCATAGCAGAGGTGCTCTTACACACAGAAGTCATCTGCACTTCCAGTGATAACAATGGATCGAGGAGCACCCCAAACTGAAACTCTTTTTCTGTACTGCCCACAGGTGCTGGTGCTGATTTTGTGATGCTCGGGGGCATGTTTGCAGGGCACGACCAATGTGCTGGGGAGATCATAGAAAAAAATGGCAAAAAAGTCAAACTTTTCTATGGGATGAGCTCTGACACAGCAATGAAGAAGCATGCAGGAGGCATTGCAGAATACAGGTACTAGTATTCTGTAGCACAGGCCTTGTTTTATTTCTCAACACCTCATTTTTGAACGTTGTTACTAGTAGTCAGTGACAAAACTTGTTCTGTTCATATGGCAAAGTGGCCACAGCTAGCATTGCTCAAGCTCTTGCTGTCAGGGTGCTCAGCTGTGCTTTACTTTGGCTGTGCAACAACCCTTGCAGAATTCATGGCCTGTTCTAAGGTTATGCAAGGGTTATTTAACTCCATGGATCCAGATGACATGACAAGCTTTGACTGTGGCTTGAATATGCTAGCTTGCTTAAGCTATGGTGGGATGTTTGATCATGCTAATACATCCTGTCAGAGTCACAGTTCTAAACCTAATCTGTACGAAAGCAGGTAGAAGCTGATTAAGGAAACAGTATGCAGGAGTACATTCAAAAAAGAAAGAATGGCCTAACAGTAGGTAGTATTGTCTGGTTTCTTTTAGATGGAATACATTTTAGGTTCTAACTATTTATAAAGGCCCACTTGGAAGTTTGGCCCATGAATCAAACAATGAATTTGACGATGTCTTAAGACAAAATACATGTCTACTAAGATCAGATGGTCTTAGAAATTACAAGTATATCTTCTCCATTCCTCTCTTCCAGTTAAGTTTCAAGATGAAACTATTTCCTTGTTACATATCAATTATAAATGGAAGTACACAATCTATTTACATACCTAGTTGGTGAAAAAAGCACTAAAGTGGGGTGATTAAACTCTTCTTGGAGTAGTCAATCCTGGAATTGCAATGCAATGCAGTTGCAAAAAAGGGCAAACACAATTTTGGGATGCATAAATAGAAGCATCACTTCCAGGACAAAAGAGGTACTAGTTTCCATTTACTCCAGCACTTGTCAGACCTTACCTGGAATACTGTGTTAAAGGTTTTTAAAAGATGCAGAAAAACTCGAAAGAGTTCAGAGAACAATGAAAATGATCCAGGGTCTGAAAACCAAGCCCAACAATGAGAAGCTGAAAGAGAGCTGGGCATGTTTAGCCTCGAGAAGGCCAAGAGGGGATATGATAGCACCCTACAAGTATCTCAGAGGCTGTCACAAAGAAGAAGGAAAATCTCTCTTTTCATTCACACATAAGCATAGGACACGGAACAATGAACTTAAACTGCAGTACACCAAATTCAGGCTAGATACCAGTAAAAACTTCCTGACTGTCAAGGGTAGAATCAGTTGCCAAGAGAGGTAGTGGGCTCTCCCACACTAGAGACATTCAAGATGAAACAGGACAGTCATCTGAGTGGGATGGCAGGATTTGGCATCCTGCACCGGCTGGGTGTTGGATCCAATGGCCTTGCTCCTGCCAACCCCACTATTCTATGAATCAGATTGTATTAGCATGTAAGCACACTGGGAACATTTTTGTAAGAAAGGAAATCAATTGCAAAAAAATAGTTTGTGATAGCTCAGGAAAAACTTTCAAGAAATTATATCATCATCATCACCACCATCATTTCCATACTGCCTGTAGCTGAAGCCCTCTGGGCAGTTTCCAACCCTCATAATGGAATCATACACTCAAGTCACCCATCTAGATTCTAACCAGGCCTCAGCTCACTTTGCTTCCAAGATTAGGGAGGAGCAGGTACTTTAGACTATATAGAAGACTTTTATTCAATTTGACTGTGTCCTCTCCCCATCCATAACACACAAAATAACACATAACACCCAACAGAGTAAACACAGATTTCCAGGATAGCCTTACTATCCTCTGTCACTGAGGGTTTGAGTTAGAAGCACAAGCAAAAATGTCTGTATCCAGAGGGAGTTTGCAATGCTGCAGGCCCACGTCCACTGCAAATTGAGATTTTTTTAAAAACTCTAACAAAATACAGTTTAGTTAATTGAAAATAATACTTTGTATCACTGTAAATAAACCCACCTTTATCTCCAGAGCTTCAGAGGGGAAAACGGTAGAAGTGCCTTACAGAGGGAATGTGGAAGACACCATCCGTGATATCCTAGGAGGCTTGAGATCCACCTGTACCTATGTGGGAGCTGCCAAACTCAAAGAACTGAGTCGAAGGACCACCTTTATTCGGGTAACTCAGCAGCACAGTCAAGTATTTTGTTAGCCTACAAAGAAAAAATGGTGAGCTTGGAGCTGTGAAACTTGCTGGCTTCTCTTCCTCCATCACTCTTTGTTTTATTGGCAATGTAGCTTCCTGCTGGTGTACTTCAAGCCAGGAAAGGAAGTTGCTTGCCTGCCACCAGTGTTGATTGTAGCAGTGGGGTTATGCATAGAGAGTATAAGCCATAAGCTGCTGCTATATCCATGATCATTATATTTTGTTCAAAGTACAATAGCACTGCTTATTTTATAGCCTTGATCTATTTAAATAGGAAATCTAGTTTGATCTTTTAATGAAAGTCACCCAGAACGCCATTCATAGTATCTTTGTCTGCTCAAACAATCCCTATTACCATGTAAGCCTATCTATTCAAGCTTTTATGTTCAAATAACCAGTTCCTACTGCTCCTGCAAGATGGCATGCAAGTCAGAGGAACAGGAGGACAACTTGGAAAACTGAAAGATGATTGTTGCAGGGATGATTGTTGCCCCAGCATGCCAGCACTTCTAGATCTAAAATAATGTTGTTCTATTTTATCTGTGACATTAACTGCTTGATCTTGATTTTTAATGTTACATTGATACATGAATGTTCTTAAAATGGTTAATTAAATAATTGTATTCATTTTATTGTAATGCTTTGCTGGGGAAGCTGTTCCAACATAGCAAATGGCCATGCCTGTTGTATGCAGAAAGAATAACATGCAAGGTAATGATAGTTGCTATTTCTGTCCAATCCATTTGGGCAAGGTCCAAGGACACGCACAAGCTTCTTATTTTTTGTACCCCACGGCACAGGGCTAGATATGGTATCCCTGTTCTAGCTATTGGAGATCAAGTGCTTTCAGACACTGCAGCATCAATTAGAGAAGTAGTCAGATCCCGAGGCTTGGATCCCCTTGCAACAAAGGCTAAGGAGTGGCAGGGTCGTCATCAGCCAAAACTTACACCCTCATTCTTATTGTCCCTACCTCTGAGGTTGGAGCTCATTCATGAAGCTGCTGCTTCAGGTGCTTACCTGAGTGCATTCATTTCTCTGAAAGAAAATAAAAGTCTGCTTTTATGAAACAGCTGAGCTAGTCCTGCTAACCTCCCCACCCCACCCTTGGTGGCTGGGAGTGCAGATAGAGTGACAGTCATTTCTTCTCAGCAGCTTTCTTCTGAAAACCAGTTTTGCTCTGGTAGGGTATGTGTGTAGCAGAAAACAAAGTATTACGAGAATAAGTACAATTAAGCACACTAAGGAACAATTATAATCCTACCTGTTATGTGTCGATTAGCTTACTTTCACATACATTGAGCCAGTAAAGAGGCAGATAAGCATATAGAGTACACACTTGATGAAACAGAATGCAGCATTAAAACACGTGCACACAAGGAAGAGAATGCCATGCCAAATCTGCAACCAGGATTGATTCTTTTCTGGGACTGAGCGTGAGATTTTAAAGATGCTACAACCAGCTATGCTGAAGGAGCGTGATCAAATGCGCACTGGGTATTGTAATAGTATCTTTTGCCTTTCCAATTTTGTACCTGATGTTGAATTTTAAATTTGTAGACAAATGGCCGCTTTCAGTGTTGGAAAACTCCTAGGCTTCCCTGTCTGCTATATCAATCTGGATGCCATCATTCTTGGAGTTCAGTATTGCTGTATTCCTAAAAACTGCAGCCATTATCCTGTGATTGTTCAGCACAGATCAAGTTTCTTATCTTTCAAACCTTCTGTCAAATACTTGCAAAATCATCATTTTCATCTCAAAGTTTATATGAGTGATTTTTTAAAATAACACTGAGTCTTAAAACACATTTATGGAAGAGTAAAGCCTAATGAGTATAGTAGCACTTAACCTCCAAGTAAGCATGGTTGGACTGCACTGTAAATAATTCTTTTCATCCTTTTGGGTGATTTAAATATAAAATATTAATATATTTGAAATTTATTTTAAATACCCAATTGAAAGCACAACGTAAGTTCAACTTTTCTGCCTTTAGTTCAGCATTTTCCACTGCATTGTAGAGTTTCATAGCACTTGTGTCATTTTACTTAATGATGTTTATCCCATCTGTTTAGAAGTAAAAAAAGAATACATACTGGTTCTTAGGCACACCTCCCTCTTCCTTCTCAAAGTAGCTAAACATCTTTCACAGTGTGGTGGTTCAATCTAAATTGAAAAACAGCAGCCATACTTAAGTAACCACCTTCTAGTTGCACGTGAAAAGGAGCAGCAAGAGGCTCATGCCCATAAAAATATATGTACTTTAGGATCTTATACTACTGTTGTACTGGTTGCCTATGCAAGCAGAGGGTGAAGTCTTGGAGCATCTACAAGTAACACATATGTTGAATTGTCTGGATAAAAAATGGTTACAAATGTTGTTATTTCAGTGACAGTAACCACACCTCTCATTAACACATAGGTCATACGCATTAATGACCTAGAAGCCCAGTGTCAGGTGTTATGATCTAAAACAAATGCATGAAAGACCCCAAGGCAACTTCAAACCACAACATGTATGAATAAATAGCAACTTATGTCCAGTAATGATTTTTCACAGACCAGTAATTAAGGGTGGGCAATATTTCCTGAAACTGCTTTCCACAGGAATCAATTAACTTAGTTAAGGTGCTACTGCTATAGGTGCTCAACAGTTTGTTGCTATTTCTAATTAATGCAACACAACTGGAAGGCTAGGGAGTGGGTGTCTGTTTTTTTCCTCTCATGTATGTTTTCTATGAGAGGGAAAACAGCTTGTGAGAAACAGCCCAGGCATCCCCTGAGGATGACTAGAACATGTAGACAGAGGGGCTGTGTTGCTGAGTCAGATAATATAATTCCTTCCATTGTGATCATCACCTAAGGTTGCCTCCTTTTCTGGGATGACAGGTGCATTTTAGCATTTTACAGAAAGGACTGGATGCATTTTTTTATTGCCTAGTTCACACATAATGCCAACCCATGATATACTTTGTTGAACTCTGGGTTGTTTAAGCCATGGGTTGTCACAGTGTATGAATCTAGAACTGTGTGATGCTTGTGGGTTGCTTTGCCAGGTTTTAAAGGTCACAGGCAAGAGAAGAAAAAACTTTCCAGCAGCTCTGGTTGCCAGAACTACAGCCCCGCAAAGACATATGGGATACAAAGGATGAGCAGGTGAAAGAGAGAAGGATAAACGATCCGGCCAAACAGACCTTGCATAGGGTAACAAGACATGAGTTAAGTAAAGCATGAGTTTGCATTATTTGTGAAACAGGCCTGTATCAGACTTTGCAGCCTTAGGGTCTGGCACTGCCACTATCTCTACAAATATCCCAACAGGAGCAAAGAAAAGCACCCTAATGATCTTTACACTGCTTTTCCACTTCCAATGTGTTCTTCATTTTATGAAGATAACACATAGTAGACAGATTGGATGTAACAACTAAAATCACATTTAACTGGATAAAAAGTCCAACTTCATGGCAGCTTTTTAAGTGATTTGAAAGAATGCATAAATACAATACAAAGGCAGTGGAAGAAAATGTTCTCTAAATAAATGCAGAATAAAGTATCATACTGTGCATAGATTAACTACCAGGGTTGTTTTTCTTTTACATATACAGGGGTGGGGAAGGAAAGTAGGTAGCACAATGATGTACTGTATCAAACAGTTTTGCAGAATGGCGAGAATATGCAATATGCAGGAATGCATAAATCTCATGGACGTTTTATTATGGATAAAATAAATATATGCAAAAAACAAACCTTTTCTTGTCAGAGGGAAACATTCATATGGACATATTGTTCTTTCAAAGAGAAACTGCCACCCACTTCTTCCTTAATTCAGACACAACAAAGAACACTGATTTGCAATTGGCACTGTTATTTTATTAGTACGAGTATACTGAAACAATAAACTTGTACTGGTATACAGACAATTTCTTTAAAACAATTTTGTTCAAATTTTGAATCAAACATTGTTTTATTATAATAATGAAATAATTTCTACCTAGAAAACCTGCAAGCACCATCAAAGAAAGGGACCATAAAATTCAATAAACAGACGCGAGTGTATCCTACAAATAGACACACCACGATTAGAAAATAGAATATGAATTCTTCCATTTTTTAATATTTGTTTTAAAAAAGCTAGTGCAAGTACAATATTTTACACTGGAATTACAGAGAGTATGCACGCATATGGAAAAAAGTTCTCTTGTCACAATAAAAGCTCTTACCTATGTCTGTATGCACTTAAAAATTTTCTCCTCTATAAGGTGCAAAACATTCCCTCCCTATTTCTCCTTTATACTGGCCATGTCAACCCAATATGACCTCAGCATAAAGCTATGATACCTCTTTTCCTAGGCCAACACTAGGCAGCACATTGAAAGTGTAATTTTTAATCAGTGGTATATGAGAAAATATCTCCGCTATGAACATCTGTCTGTCTGGGAAACTGTCCAAGAACTTGCCAGATGCTCCAAATGTGGACAAAACTATTAACAAAACTAAGGACCTGGAAGTTGCCTATTTTAATGCAAGAGATCAAAAATATTTTGCAATGCTATGTATTATTTTTAAAAGGAGATTACTTTTAGTATTAGCTGATGGGCAGACTAAAATTAAGTTTTATTTCTTAATAGAGTAATAATGATGATAGGCAACAGTTCTGAGGTACAAACAGAAAACATGAGAACTATCAACCAGTAACATAAATGCAGGTATTTATTGTCCAGAGACACAGTGACATTTTGTGACATTTCAAGTACTTAAGGCCTGTTTTCTTGGTTTAAAATTAGACACACAAAAAATTTGCAAGAGAGTCCAAAGTAGATCCAAAAATCAACTTTTATGAGTATGTAAGTTAAAAAAAACACCTAGACTGATGACTTAAAATGCTTATCTTGTATTGCCAACCATTAGCCTTTAGTGCTCAACATATAACAGAATTCTGTTATCTTTTCCTGGGCAATAAATAACTGCATCTATTATGCCCCTCCTTTGGCTTTTGTTTGGTAAAGAGTTATTTGCAGCCTGTCTGAAATTTAACTGTCCCTTCAATTCAGTTGATACTGATCTCATGAGGAGTTGCACATGTGTACATCAAAAAACCTTATAATTAATCAGAGAAATTGCTGAGTAACCAGCTCTTTCATTAATGTAAATTGGTCTATCACTACTATTTCAAAAAATAGTTTTATAACTTAAAAAAATGAAAACATCTGAAGGATGATTCTAACTTGATGTTCAGAGCTGAGTTCAGCCAGCCATTTCCTGCTACAAGTGACTTTACAGCAATTCACTAGCCAGTTTCAGGCCTCAATGAAGCTGACTTGAAATATTTATTTCATTTTTATACTGTCCAATAGCTGAAGTTCTCTGGGCAGTTAACAAAGGTTAATATTCTCATCATACACTTGTCCCAGCACTAGTGATTTAAGCCTGCCACAGATGACACCTTCAGTGGCTGCCTATTGCATGGCTGAGGAAAAGGGAATAAGAGCTTTAATCAAGTGAAAGAAAATGAACAAACAAAAGCAACCTCGGATGAAGACTCTGATTAATTCTCAGTGGAAGACTCAAGTCCTTTCCGATAACAATGAGAGAAACCACAGAGTTCTTGCAATCCCTATTCTAGAAACACTACTCATTGCCCAAATGCACTTTGTTTTATTATTTGAGAGGCCATCTTTCTCCACCTGAAGGGGTGGTTTTAATACATAATTATATCCCTCCATATTAAATGCCAGAATGGTGACTTGGATTATTACTAACAGTCTGCAAGGGAGAAGGATTCAGACAACTATCACCTAGACGCAAGACCCCTCACTTTAAAGTTTTTCTGTAAATGGAATTTGGACCCTTCCTTAAATATTTCATTCCTTAATTCCCTTCATTTTTGGTGTGCCAGTGAAATCATTCTAACTCTGCACAAATGCTTGAATAACTGAAATATGTCTTCAAGACCTCCAGGCATTTATGAGGGGGAGGAGTTGTGGGTGGGAGATTTTGCAGGAGACAATATGCTGTTTCTAACTTCTTCATTGGCTATAAGAATCCCTTTTAACACACACTTCTTGTTCCATATTAAATTCTTTGGGTTTTTTTTGAAGAACAGGAAGTGCAGAAGATGTAGATCATCATCACTAGAAGGAATAAAAACATCCTGATCAAGGTCAAAATCTAAATTAAAACAGGGACAAATAGTATAATTGTGAATCATTCTCCCCTGTCCCAACAATGGGATTCATGTAATGCAAATACAAAACTAAGCATAGTTGTATTTGAAAACCTGTTAATTAGCCATTCTTTCCAGCCAGGACCAATACAATCGGATCATCTAGACGTGAGAGTTTTCTATATACAAAAAACATGTAACTTTCACCCTTTCTTGGCTTTTGTACTTTTATTTATTTTTACAAACAACACACAATTTCAACATATCCATCGCTTTTCAAACACTGAATGAATCATTCCAACATTCATGTTTCTTTTGTGCAATTTTTTAAAAAACATTACCTGTACTCCTCTCAATGTGAGTGCTTCAAAAAAGTTTGTTTAAGCTTCTCATCAAATTAGGTTCACATAAAAAAATATTCCCACGAGTTATAGTGCTACAAGTAAAGATCCTATCAGTAAGGTAACACGTCTGAAGCGAGGTCGTCTATGTAAAAGAAATTGAACTCTGGAGTAGAAGTGTGCAACTTGTTTGGAATTTCCCTATCAACAGAAAAACACAATACTGCTCTTGGAAACTACAAGGGAAATCAACAGACTATTTCTGTGCTCTCAAAAACAACATTTACCATTTGGGACACTATTCATTCCTCTTAATTATTTTAAGGAACTGTCAGGGTTATAAACATAAAAGCAAAGCACTAACCATATTCTGCTTAAAACAAACATAGAACAATTTCCCTTTGTTTTCACACTATCACAGTCTGCCCCAAGGCTGGACAACACTGTAATCTGTAATGATTTTTGGAGGTGGGGGGAATGCAGGTCACATATTGCTGTTAGCAGTTTAATAGTAGCCGTGACACAAAAGGGCCCACTTTTTCAAAGTAAAGTGGATAACAATGAGGGACTGGATCAGAAAAATTGAGCAGAAGGAAAATAGACACCAGATCACTTGCGTAATCAGAAGTGTTTGCCGGGGCCATAAGAAGGTAGGTAGGTGCTATGTGCTATGGTCATTTGCATGCTTCTGCTTGCACAAGGGCTATAAAACAGCCCTTCCATATATGGAGGACAGCAACTACCTCTGGAAGGGTAGTTTGGGATTTTAACCCATGAACTTACACCAGAAATCCAACAGTATTAATGCAGACAGGCACTACTGTGTAACTCAAGTTTAATTCTAAAGATGCCATTCAGCTATCACTGCATTCTGGGTCAGATTAACAGCTGCTTTGGTTGCCTTATAACTGCTGGACTACTTGTAAATAAGCCTACAGCACCAGCAAATTCCTTTACTCTAAATTCCACTGACAAGCATGCTGTTCAAAGTGCTGCCAATAAAGCTGAAAAAATGTGTGCATGAGAATGTTAAAAGTTGAAGACACTCAAAATATCCACCACCAAACTGTAGTGTATGGCAACACCTGAAGTAGCAGATGCATGAAAACAGCCTCAAGTAAAAATATTTCAATGCTGCAAAGAGAAATGCACACATGTAGGCCATGTATTTCTGCACTGATTCTGAAAGGACTGGAGAATGGGTAGCTCTGACCTCCAAAGCATTCATTTTTTAATTGCAGCTAGACTCGGGTTTTAAAAAGGTACAGCCAACATACCAAAGGGATTTGGGAGAATCATGACTATTCCCTTGTAGTATTGAGCCCTGAAGATGTTAAGCAAGGCTTTGCAACACTGTGGCCTGGATATATATGGCATCTTTAAAAGAAAATGGTTTAGGAATTCACGTCTGAAAATCAGAAGAAACATCAACTAATTGTTTTCAAAATAGCATTCTCATTTCCTACTCGAACAATATTATTGTTGTGTTTTTTCCTCATTGCTTGGCAACATAGCAAAGTAAAACAAGCCATTATGCACAGAGTGCACTTCTCTATAACCAAAAGCTACAGTTCACAATAGATCTGATGCTTTATAGCATTCTATATGGTAAAATGGGATGTTAATCCATGACCATGGAGGAAATCCAAACATCTTGGAATTGAACATCCCTACTCCAGAGCAGTAAAAGTGCTCCTTCTGGTCACATCAGTGTACCACACATACGCCAGCCCCATCCCTGAGTAAGAGGTGTGAAAGGTTTCTAAATGTTCCTTGATTTAGGGAAGCAAGAGTTGCGATGTCACTTCCTGGCTCAAAACCCCTCCCAAACTAATTTAAATGTGACACCAGAAAAAAAAAAAAAAAAAAAAAGGATAAGGCATGCATTTTTTTCCAGAAAAGGGAAAGGGCTAAAGGGAGAAAGTTGCATTGAAAGGTATGAAAAAGAATCGTTTGGGTGTAACTTACAGGATACGAGGTAAGTGACATCTCACTCTTGAGACTCCCACGATGTGGCCCAGAGAAACTGAAATGATGCCTAAGTTAAACACTATACGGAACAGTCATATTATATATAGATATATATAGATATAGATATATTTCTTTAGAAATTCCTATAAAGAGGTTCTGGTATTTTTTCTTTCTTTGCCCTGACAAATTCTTTTATTGGTGATTGTATGAGTTTCACTGTAAATTAAAACAGGTCTGGTATAAAAACAAAGGAAAAAAACTGGTGTCAGTTAATATTGCCATGTGGACATTGTATAGAAGCTTCTTACAATGACACTATTCTTAAAATGTTCTCTACACCCATCAATGGCTATTTAATGAACGAGAAGGAAGTGGGAAGGGACTGATTCTGTGAACTATAGTTTACAGGAACAGTTCCAGGAACATGAATGGGGTTAAAATGTGTCCTGTGAAATTAGGTGCCTTTTCAAAAGAAACTAAGGCACTTAGGAGCACAAGGCTCAAATCCTAATCCAATTGAGGATGAGGACAAAAGACCCAATATAATCCTCACTGTGGACATCAACAGGGCCAAAACTCACCTCGATCACTGAAAAATGGGAAATGTTAGCAATAAAGAGATAACAGAACTTAATCACAACTTCCCAGTTCACTAACACAATGGAAAAGCACATCTTGGCATGCTCCAAGGGCAAAGTGGTATTTACCCAACACAAAGTAGCCATGATTGAAAGCAAGTACTCTGTTTTGAATGTATTTTGCAACCCTGGCATATATGGGAGTGAGCAACTGTACTGATTCCAGTATGTGCCTCACTTAAACTTTCATTTTGTAACTTTCAATTGCCCCTCTCCAATTAGGTTAACACCAGGTTGTTTAGCCCTGATACAGTCCAGAGTGCCTGGGTTCAGATGGATCATAGGTTGTAAAATGAAAGTAGGCATGAGGGGCATACTGGAGGAAATGTGCTCTCACTCATGCTTGCCAAACTGTGGGTTCGGTTAATTAACTCACAATTTTCTGTTATGTGCGAACCAGTATAGAGTGGCCCTGGCTCCTATGTTTCTTTGCACAGGGATGAGTTTTACCCACATTTCAATGGAAGGTGAAGATTAGTAATAGTTACAGGTATCCAATAGAATATGGTGCTGGTAATTCTGAAAAGACTGCATACATCCATCTTAAGAAGGCCCAGTTATTGCAAATTACTCATATTCACAGAATCTGTCTCTCCCCAGATCATCCTATCTTTCTTTAAATTCCTTTGAGGCAGGGCTATTATCTAATAATATTATTTATCTGCTGCTTCTTTAAATGTGGGGGACCAGGTGGGTTCCAATAAGAACTCTACAGAGCCCTTACTTGGCAGCCATAGAGTTTTTGTTCCTACTATGGACCGAAGGAGGTACACAGCCTTAGATTTCACACACACACATACACACAAACAGATGGATGGGGAAAAGGTCTACCTCATATGTGGGTGAGTCTAAATTGGCACATAAAATATTGCACATGCTAAAAAGCAAAAGCACAACAAAGCAGAACAATGTTTGGAAGGAGAAAACAATTGCAGGATTCTAAGTCTGCAATGTAAGCAGAGAACAAATACATTCCTATTGCTCCAACCTTTTATTATTATTATTATCATGATCATCATCAGTATTATTATCATTTTACTGTTAGTGTTAGTTCCATAGATGTGGTCAGTTTTATATTCCCTGCTTCCTTATATAGGTGTGATGCTCTCTGAGTATACATGAGTATAGTGGTACTGATGGGAATGAAATAGGGAATTCTGTCCCATGTCTTTCTATCCCTCTCGGCATCAGAGGTTGAAATGAAAACAAAAACAATCAAACGAGAAAAGCTAAAATAAAAACTCCAATAAACAATAAATTGAAAGTGCCCTGAGCAGAGTTTATGGAAGATTAAGCAAGTTCTCTGAGCAGAAATGTTGAAAAAAATTACAGCACTAAATAAGCAGTGTGATTGTGAGGAGAAACCTGCTCAGCTATTTGGTATATTACTGAGAGGTTTTGACAATTCAAGATAGATTTCAAGCTATTTTAAAAATTTAAATGTATTTTGGTGCACCCCAATATGGTACAAAAATGATTAATTCTGGTGTGAGCTAATGTTCAAGTAACAAACAAAGACATAAGAACTAAAGGATGGGGTGGGAGTAATTTTTAAAATATATTGTTTTTAAGCAAGTTGGGGAGGGAAATGAACATTTGGAGGAATCTATTAATTTTAGATTCTTTTCTGGTATTTTAAATTTCCATTCTTGATTTGAAGGGGCCTCAAATTCACAGAGCCCCAATGCAACTAAACAGGACCACATCTGAGGTCAAAATCTTGACCAGGAGAGATAAACTCCTGTTAGACAATCCTAAATATTGGTTGGATCCAGATTAAGGTTACAGCTTATCCTTCACTTGAACAGCAGAGAAACATTAACTGCATATCTCGCCTTAATTCATTCCCCCAACAAGGCCGCTTAGTGGCCAGTGGCTTCCCCAAGGCAGATGGAATGATCATGAAAAGGAAATCAGGGTAAGCAACCCCTATTCACACAGACAGCACATCCTGCCTTCTGCTACCTTACTTGCCCTGGGTTTGAATTTCATCAAAATGTAATTGCAAGTGCGGGAAGAATAAAATTAATGCCTTCCCAACAGATAAGCTAGAGCAAACATTGATTTCAAAAAGTTCTTGTACCATTTTCATATATGACACTTATAAAAAGGAAAAGAAATGTATTTGGGCTTCTCAGAATATTGGTACCACATGGATTTGTTAATGTGGATAGATTACACTCATATGGATTTTAGATTCACAATAAAGACCCATCTAAGGAGAATCCAAATTAAGCCTAGTGTGTGAACAGATCCAGAATTTTTCTCATTAGGCTTCTGAAATGAATGCACTATTTTAATTAACTGGGCTTTACACTAGGCTGTACATTGATTCATGTGAATTTTTCACAGGCTGGTATTGTGATATCACTCATACATGAGGCGTCACCAGGGCTTTAATGTGGCTATTTGTCAGAAATTTGTTTCATGATGGAAGCCACATAATAAGCAGGAGAAAGGATCTCTGGATCCACTTTTTTTCTTTCTTTCAGATTTTTGGGAACAGTAACACCACCAATAACAAAGAGCTTAACTGGGTAAACTTTCTACCCATTGTCCTGTGTTGTACCAAAGGTTGACATCTACATTGTACTTACTAATGGAAAAGAATGAAGAGTAACAAAGTAACATTCACAACAATATAATAACAATGGATTGGAATCTTTTTAAAAAATAACTTGCTTCTGTCTCAAAATGACTCTTATGCAACACTCAGTGAATTTGAAGAGAAATTCTCAGAGTCTGTCCTGGTTCAGGGTGACAGATATGACAGAAAGGAAAAAAAAAGAGTTTGAAACGAAACCTAACCCTACAAAATGGCCTAAAGATTAGGCAGGTTAGTATGTAATTGCTACATTTGTTTAAGCTTTTTCAGACCCTCTCCCTTCCCCAAAAATTATTAGGTAAAAACTGTAGGAATACCACACAAATGATAAACTCAAGATGTGCAAATTGCAAGATTCTTTAAAGTCCATCTTTTTCAAAAACACTGGACAATAATGATTTTCCTTCTCTTTCTTTTATACTCTCTCTTATTCTTTTATTATCTGTCAGCTCACATATGCCTTTAACTCTTTCACAAGCATTAAAGTTTTAAAAGTGCCTCCTATTAAGTAGTCCTTGTGGACAATGACTGTCACATACCAGTTCATAATTCACATTCATCCCTTTGAAACCACGTGAAAAACTTTCAACATCTTGCTTGTGAAAAACCTCTACATATTTTGCATGTAGTTAACAGTGTTGAAGAGATCAATTTTCTTTTTCTTTTTCTCTCTCTGATCACAGAGATTAAAGTGAGATACAGTACTTGCTGAGTGTTAAGCCCAGATGCTCAGCAACTGAAGTGTGAACAGCATTTTAAGTGCTTAAAGACATTCTATGTTCATCTTTGACATCCACTTCCTTGTGTCACACTGAAATTTGAAAAAAAAAAAGTGGCACTAGTTGTCCATCATCAGAAACTAAATCAGTACTAGAGTTAGGCAGAAATTTGCAACCTAACTCAAACAACTTTTATCTTCACTATCCCAAAGGGGCAGTGCATATTTACCTTGTGGAAGCAAATGTCAATGGCTGGCAACACTCAGTGGATCTTGCTAAAGCTGTACAGGAGAAATGAAGAGCACTAGCTGGGTCCCCCACAATTTGAAACTCACTAGGCCTACAGCAACAATATCCTACTTCAAAGAAATTCCCAGTGTTAGTAAAACAAGAATCAGTACACCATTGCTACACAACCGTATTAACAAGTGGAGATGAAATCTCTGTGTGGCAGTCTCTGAGAATAAAAAAATAACAACAACAACAATAGTAATAATAATAATAATAATTTTAAAAAATAGTGCAGTCAGACCCCCATTGTGGGGCCAAGGATTGGGCTGCGAGGAGTGGGAAAATGGGGCAAACTTTGGAAATTTGTTAAAGGTGGTTTATTGTGCAAAGCCTCAGAGACTGCTTATTTCTTTGTTATTGCCTCTGGACTGGGTGCCCAGTAGCTGCTTGTTGAGGGAACCACCAAACCACACTGCTATGGAACTTCCAGTCCTAGCCTCTCATTGAATCAGGCAATAGTGTTCATATCTGTTACAGATCCTTTCCCATCTCCTCACCAAAGACAGCCAATGGTTATTCTGCTTCATGTGTTGGAAAACAGCAGCCATGACAACATTTGCTTCCACGAAGGGCCTGGAGGAAGCAGATACTGCCCTTTCTGTAGCTCTTGATAAAAATAATCACCGATAAACACTTTGGTGAGGGTGGAGGGGGGAAGTATGCACCAGTCTCCTGCATAATACCAGCTGCAGCTCTAACAACAAGGTTATAACATAAACCTAAAATAAGATGATAACATGTAAATACTGGGTTATTTTAGCCTACAGTACAGTAATCTGGATAAAAATGACAAGGGATAGCCTAATTTTCCTTTCCCTAAACAGACTTCACTTGCCTACATTAGATCGCCCTTCAATGCAAATCTTAACCTCCTGAGGAATAAAAGAAGGCTTGGGAAGAGTCAACGGTGGCTCCTCTTCTGACTTCTCTAGTTTCCGTGTTTCAGGGGCTGACCACCTCCTCTTCCTGGTTGCTGTGGGCTTGCTGGGTTCTGATCTGGAGAGCAGAGATGCTGCAGGCAATCCTGTTTTGTCTGGAAACTTCAGTTCACCATTCTCGGAGGACATCTTCGTGCTTCCCTGATCAATCCCATTTTCTTTCTCTGCATACCTATGTCTATTACCAGTTAGACTGTCATTCTTAGAGTGCTTCAGCAAGATACTAGCTGAGTCCATGGACTGGCCCTTTTTAATGGAGCCATTCTTCAGATTCTTGAGTGTAAGTGATATGCAGACATCCCCAACTGAAAGTTTGGAACACGGCAAATCAAAAAGCTGGCTTGTTCTCTCAGGGCAGCAGGATGACCAACCTTGTCCAAATACAAAAAAAGGATATTCTACCAAGACCTCAACACTGACCTGCAAGGGGAAAAGAAAATGGAGGGAGGGAGAGAAACATGAACATGAATTTGAAAATGTGCATTCATGTTGTCATTCACAGGTGAACTCTCAAAACTTGCTGAATCCACATCCACCAAAAGTTACTTAATTAGCAGAGGTGTAGACCCACAACACTAGAAAGTAAGCAAAATATTATTTAAATATTCAACCAGACGAGGAGTACAGGCTTACTTTTTTCAGCTGACAAATTATAGAGCTCTGTACTTTTTTGGTAGCAGAAAGTAAGAAATGGTTAAAACCAAGAGCAAAACTGTCTACCTTCTTGATGACTTTGGGGCTTTTTTGGGAGAATATCATATAATGCTTTATCACTCTTATTCTTTCTTCAGAAAAACATTTGTATTATGTGCCCTGTGGATGTTAGACTGGGGCCCTAGGAGCTCCAGTTCTGGTGCCTGCTTGGCCATGAAGCTCACTGGGTGACTTTGGGTCAGTCACACACTTTCAGCTTATCTCACAGGTTTGTTGTTGAAGATAAAATGGAGCTATGTAAGTCAACTAAATAAATAAAAAAATAAATTAAAAAATTGCAGGATATAAATGCAGTATATTTCATCAACATACCCCATCCATCTAGGTTAAAAAAGTCTATCCTTTGGTTAAGCAGATTTACAAAAACCATGGAATATTCCTGCAGAAGGTATCTAATACATATTTCTCCAAACTTACAGATTGCATTCATTAAAATCTGGGTACAAGCAATTTCATAAGCCTCTTTTCTACAGTGATTAACCTCTAGACAGTTTTCATATTACTTAATACAAGTTCAGGGTGAGAGAGGATTGGGAAGAAAACCTAATTCTTTGAGTTCTCCTGAGAATAACAGCAATTCCTCTTGTCTTAAAGCAATTGTGTGGTAACAAACTGCATAGATGGCTTTGGGATATACATATAACCTCACTAAATTCTGTTCATTCAAGGGTGAGCCTTTTGTTGTATGTGATCTTTATTTCAGCAAACAGTAATCTAGTACAATCCCTTCCTCTTGCAGAAGGCATGTCCTGGATCCAACCCGGTCTGTGCAGTTATCATTTTTAGCAAATTGGGATAATGAATACTTAAAAAAACATTATCCACTACTGTTATATGAGGAACTGCAGCAGTATGGGTATTGCTGAAGCCATTTACATGGAGATGAAGCATTGCTTTACATGAGGCATTTCACCCATCATTTTACCAAGGTTGAGTCTTCTCTTTCCTTTGCATAAAATACAACATGTCCTTTCATATATCCTTTCTTTCTGGTAGTTTTCCTCATTGCACTTTTATATGTTCCATTATGTATCACATGGTGGCACTGTGGTATCGAGTGGAATACACCAGGCTTCCACAGTAAATAGTGGTGCTATCTAGGCTTTTTTAAAAGCATTATCCTCACTCTTTTTTTAAAAAAGCTACCAAAATGGCTATAAACACAAGAGGCCCTGAGAGGATGAAGTTGCTGTGCAATTGGAGCCCATAAACTTCCATGAGTGAGGGCTCATAAATACAAAACAAATGCAAAAACCTAAGCAGAAAAGCCCCGCATCAGGCAAGATGCTCTCATTAACAGGGATTCTTTTACTAACATTACATTTGAGTATCTTGCCTATGTAAAAGCAAATTAAAGAAATGAAGAGGCTATTATCTTAGAACCACAAAACTCTGTGGCCAGTCAACCCCAACTTTCTGATGCTCTCTGCTCTGTTTCCCAGTCCACCCTCAGGCATATGCACATGGCATTCCAGGGGCTCATTCCTTGGAGGACACTTATTCAAAGCTTGAGGATGTTCATGAAACAGTTCAGCCCCAGGCACCATTTCAGGGGCCTGGGAACAGCCAGGAGATAGTGCTGGAGAACAGGAGTCAGGTGCCTCTGAGAAAAGCAGCGGATTGCCACTTCTAAGGGAGGAACATGAGAGAAGTCAGGAATAATGATCAACCTGGCCCTGGGAAAAGCACTGACTGTTGCCTGGGTTTGGGGGGAGGATGCTGAAATGGAAAGCATTTCAAATGAAGAGGTTGCTCCTCCCAACTCATGGCTTGTTGGCAAAGCCATCACATGGTACAGTGGGAGGCAGAGGCAAAGAAGGACATGTAAGTCAAGTCTTGTTCACTGAACAGTAGATAGGGTTCAACATTTTATGTGGTGTATGCTGAGCAGCTTGTACAACAATAAGCAGAATTAAAAGAGGAAACGCTGGAGTGGCCGTTGCTGTCAGAGGGAGACAAACAGCTCACGCCAACAGGGTGGTATATAACATTATCTAACCTAGCCCAATGGACAGATAATTCAGCTGTAGATGTGATGATATGGGGTCAGTTTGATATTGAGAATCTCAACCATGGTGACATGTGTATTTTGTTCGCATCACCCTAGCACCTTTTGTTATAGAAAAGACTCCATGGGCAACGGACTCATTAGAGCTGGGACTCTGCTGGTAATATGCTAGCTACCTGTCTGTTCTGTAACTGAATGTTACCTGTTCTATAGTGTAGGGGTGGGCAGAACGCAGATCTGACATTTTAAACTTCAGCTACCAGAAGCTCCTGCCAACACTGCCAATGGCCTGGTATTCTGGGAGTTGAAATTCAAGAAACCCGGAGGTCTGTTTTCTGCTTACTTGTTTTGCTGAAACTGGATCACTAGAAAGAGTCCCCATGTAAGAGACAATTAGAATGCCATAAAAATGCAAACATTTTTCTAACCTTCAAGTTACTACCCTAAGAGTGCAACTCTGAGAGACAGTGTGGTATAGTGCTGAGAATTGTTGGACTGGGGATCTGGGTTCTAGTTGTCACTCAGCCATCAAGCTCATGGGGTGAGACTTTGGGCCACTCATAGATTCTAAACCTGATCAACTCACAGGGTTATTGTAATGAGGATAAAATGGAGCTATGTAAGCTGCCTTAGATTCCTCACAAGAAGAAAAAAAGTGAAAAAAAATATATGCAGTGTAATATTAATACCAATACTACAAATTCTATTCAAGCAACCTATGAGGGTGACCCAAACTGGCCAAGAAATACAGCTCAACCCTGAATGTCCTTGCCTCAAGATAAACTAGCAGGTTAAAGAATTATGGTTATCCCCCATGGAGTCCTTTATTCTAAGCACTTCTATCTGATTATCCCTCAAAAATGTTTTGTTTGGCTCAAACTAGGCAACCTAAAAATTGATGAAGAAGCCAGGAATCTCTGGAACACAACTATTCATTGAGGAAGCCAAACTATTAATCCTTTTGGTGAACTTCACTATGAGTATACTCAAAGATCCTGCTTATTTTTATTTTTAGATACTGTTTCTAATTATTCTTTGAGAAAGTCTAATGATCCCATACCTCTGCTATTAATTCGATTAATGAGGGATGGCTTTGGTTTGTAAATGAAGCTTCAAAGCTGAACTCATTAAATGCAATGAGTCAACATGCAAAGCTTCTCCTGGAATATATATGGTATTAAAAAAGTCTGGAGTGTGGTAAATGCTGATGTCCATCCATCTATCCAAATTATATGTATGATGGGGCAACCATACATGAATATTGCTTCTAAGAAGCCTCCATTAATTTCAATAGAGCTCCCATAAAAACATCACTGAAATGAACAGAGGTTGCACATAAGCATATTTGGTGTATTGCAGAGTCAGGAATGCACATATTGAGGCCTTAAAATGAGTCCTTTCATCTACCAAGAAATATGTGATCTGTTTGTAAACTGGACTGAAGCAGGAGCAATGTTTCCAGTTTCTATCCCAGCCATGTTTAGAAAATCGGCTTTACAAAATTAAACCCTTTCCCCAGAAGAGATCAAAAGACCTCAAACAGAGAGAGAAACAGAGAGAAACAGAGTGAGTCAGAAGGGACCTCCCGGGCCATCTAGTCTGACCTCCGGCACCAGCCGGCTCCACTCACGACATGCCCACCATGTGCACTTCCAGCCTATCCTTGAATACCCACACCAATGGGGCCTCAATGACCTCTCGTGGAAGCCCATTCCACACCCTCAGGGTCCTAACTGTCAGGAAATACTTCCTGGCATCCAAATTGAACCTTGGTTCCCTAAGCTTTGCTCTGCTGGAGCGCGTCCTGCCTTCCTCTCAGGTCTCTACCCATCTCCATGTGACATCCCCTCACATACCTGTATGTTGCCAACATATCCCCTCTGAGTCTCCTCTTCTCCAGGCTGAAGAGACCCAGTTCCCTCAGTCTCACCTCATACCCCATCCCCTGCAAACCGGCCACCAACCTTGTGGCCCTGTGCTGCACTGACTCCAACCTGGCTATATCATTTCTGTAATGAGGGGCCCAAAACTGAGCACAATACTCTAGTTGCGGGCGCACCAGAGCCGTGCAGAGTGGTAGTAATACCTCTCTTGATCTAGAAGCCACACTTCTGGCTAGGCAACCAAGGGTGGCGTTCTCCCTCTTGACCACCACATCACACAGCTGACTCATGTTTAGCCTGCAGTCAACCAGTACCCTGAGGTCCCTTTCACAAGTGCTGCTCTCCAGCCACTTGTCACCTAACCTGTACTTATGACACCTATTCCTATGCTCCAAGTGCAAGACCTTGCACTTATCCACATTGAACGCCATCCTGTTGTCTCCTGCCCACTTCCAGTCTGTCCAGATCCTTTTGGATCTGGAGTACCTGCACCTCAGTTGTGGCCACTGCTCCAGTTTTAGCGTCATCTGTGAATTTGATCAGCAGACTGTTCACCCCTTCTTCCATGTCACTGATGAAAAGGTTAAACAGGATCAGCCCCAGGACAGATCCTGGGGGGCCCCGCTTGTCACTGGCCGCCATCCAGATGATTCCCCACTAATGGGTATCCTCTGCTTTCAGTCAGTCAACCATGCCCTAATCCACCGGATAGTGCTTTGGTGCATCCTAAAACTTCTCAGTTTCTCCACCAGGGTATCATGGGGCACTTTGTCAAAGGCCTTGCTGAAATCCAGGTAAACCACATCCACTGCATC